TATTATATGGGACAAAGGGTGTAACGTTACACCCTTTGACACCCTTTTTTCTTGAGAGTGTGGTCCTTTGAATTTTGGTCACAGTAATAATAATTGTGTTCGTTGTTGTTCCACTATGCAGTCTGTCGTATGCGTTACAACAATAGAGAGTTTAAGTAGGTAGTTCTGGTTCTCCCGCTACGCTATGCGCTAAGGAGAGATCCCACTACTGCCCATCCGCGGTGAGAGCGGATAAATAGTGGAGCTGCGGAAGCTACCGGAGGCACGCTAGGCGTGTGTCTCGCCAGAGCTACGCCGTATGTGTCCGCTTCGAGGTCGCGATTGTCCACGGTGGATGAAACCTTGCTGCTGCGATAAGTACATGGGGCGATTTAACACTGGCATGCCAAGTACGGCCACTTTCGTCACGTTACTTGCGACATGACAAGTAGGGCTCACGGAAAATGAATCGTCGCCATCTTGGAACTTTTTAGCATGATCAGGATTTTTTCGGTCGCTCACCAGTCACCTAGCTGTGTTTGGAGATTTATGTTTGTCCTTTGTCCCTCTTGTTCCCCTTCTCCAGGGATTATTTCGGTCATTCTTGTCCAGCTCGCTTGCACCTTTGCATTTAATTGCATTATAATTATATCCAGTCGACAAGAATGAGCACTGCCTTGTGACGAGCCATTGCGTCCGACACACGTTGTAGTTCATCAACATCGAGACCACGCTTGGAAGAAAGGGTCGTAAAGACATTCCATTCAGTTTGCGTGGCGAAATGGGGAGGGAGGGCGGATCCGCGGTCTTGAAGAAGCGGGTGACTCACCACAGCCAACGGTTTACCGCTGTTTGTTTGTTTCTTTTTTTTTTCTTTTTTTTTTTTTTTAGTTGGCGTGCATACGGTACTTTTTTTCTGTTTTATTACCTGGCACCTTGGGTGCTTAAATTAGGAATTTTAATCATATTGAGGACAAAATACCGACAACAGGGCACATACGTAAAATTATGCTTAAACGACATAAAAACATAATATTAGATTTTCATTCATATATGCATGAAAAACGTTATAATACCTAGCCCAACATTAAAAGTGAAAAAGATTTAAAAAATAGTTCATGAGAAAATTAGTTGCGACCTTGCAAGATTTTGTTTCTCATGTTTTGAAACTTGCAAGGTTTTTTAATTTTTTTCTACATATAAAATAATAGTTCTAGAAGATAACAACAGCTCATTTTGAGATATTCAGAGGGATCAAGATTTAAGATATATTGTATAGGTAAAACAAAAAAAAGCTTGCGATACTTTGCCCATTTTCGTCAACATTTTCGTTTGTAACAATTTTGTAACAGATATTTTGAAATGTACTAGATAATAGGTTATGTAGGGACTAGGGGGGTTACTTTTATTTTGAAGCAACAAGTGGCGTATTTCTTTACTCTGTCTTCGGTGATGCCTTCCGTGTTATGACCCCAGTGGCGCTTCAAGCACAGGGTCATATAAATAAATATATAAAAATACTTCCCTAACTAAACGAAAGAAAAGAGAGGAATTAAAGAAATTATTGCAAATTACAAAAACCAAACAAACATTTTAAAAATATGCAAAAACGTCTTTGGAGGTGCGGGGTATCGATCCCCGTACCTCTCGCATGCTAAGCGAGCGCTCTACCATCTGAGCTACACCCCCAGACAGTTCTTATGGAATTAAAGAAATCTTATATAGTTGTAAAGTTATTTTAAAAGTATTTTTGTTGGTTCGTTGGTTTTTTTTTAAAGGGATATTGCTTAATGAAAGCGATGTCATTGAACTTGTCACTAGGTCCGCCCTATATACAAAGAAGCCACTGTGTTAGGTGAGATCAGTGCCTTGTGACACCACAAACCTCTTTACATGAATGTACGAAACCGCATATTTCGCTCAAATCGCTCCGATTGCCTCCTCTTGAACCCTGGTCAGTATGAAGGGAAGCAACCCATCTGTAAGATAACAGGGTAACACAAACTCCTTGGATAACAAGGGCATTTTGACTAAACTTTCCTAAGCGGTGTTTTCATGCGAGTTCACGCGAGCCGCCGCCCGCTTTAAATTGTTTATCATGCTCAAATTTCGACGGTGTGCGTGTCCGAAGCAAAATGCAAGAAATGAAGACCGGGATATTCTTATGCCCGGTAAAACGCAGAACACAGATATGAGATGTAAACAAACCAAACAAACTTAGTGGTTGATGCTGCTACTAACAGATGGCGCCACGCATTCGCAGATGTGGCTTTCTGCACTTTCTGGCTAAGTGGCGCGAACCGCCGCCCGGTTCAAATGGTTTTAACGACAACACTTCGATACACCATAGCAGCAGACATCTTGCTGGATTAAAGGCCGGGCGGTTACGAAGGAAAAATTGGGAAGATTGCGCCAATGTTTCACGCGTACCACAGCTCGGAGATTTCCTTAGGCTCCTATCGGAGCCGGCCGTCCTCGCGAGCCGCCGCTTAAAGCACGCACGGCGGGTGTTGCTTTTGCCACCAGACTCGCCGCCGTCCTGTGTGTGGCCGTCATGGTACGTCGCGTATACGCCACAATCAGGCATATCACTCAGGGTACGCTGATCGGATTACTGCCACGAGCCGTCCCATTATCAACAACGAGCGAGAAAGGCCATGATCGTCTACTGCTTCCAAAAGAGCGGGACCACAACATTATGAACATGACGTTCATATCGGCCAATATGCACCTTCTCGCTGTGCGTTCCTCCAATGGCCGAAGGGAGAGCGATGGACCCCGACCCCCGACCCCCGACCCCCCCCCCCCCCCCCCCTTCCCCAAATAGAATTCCGACCCGAGAATCACGTCTGCGGGACGTCTTCTAGGTCTGGATGAACAATGTGTGGTGGTGCGGCTGTAGGCCGCATCACCACGCACTGTTAAATTTGGGAGAAAAAAAAAGGAATTTAGGGTGTACTTGTCGAGAGCGGCACCTCCTCGTCGTCCTCCCTTTCTGAGATGTGATTGTCCGAAGGCACAGATGAAAAAAATGTTTAATGGGACGCTGCGGGCGCGAGCTGCATAATTCTCTCTTTATTTTTTATTTTTTTTTATTTTTTTAAAGGTTCTGTTATCGCGCATCTTCAGATGCTTGCATTCGAACGTGGCACGTGCAAAATCTAATGTTGCAGAGCCACCTGGATGGTTCAGCTATCATAACATGGTCGCGTCTTGCGGATGCGCTCGCGCCCCCTGCCCCAGAGCAACGGGGTGTCTTCAGACCCTTCAGACAGTTTGTACGGCAATGTGACAGGGCGGACAGGGCCCTGTCAGTCATACAAAGAAACGTTACTCACCAGAAACCTTAGCGTTCGCAGTAATGTGAACAGTAACTGGCGTAAAGACAAATAAACAATTTCTGGTACCAACTAGAGCACTATATAGCTCCTTCGGAGCAGAGTAGCGCAATCTAGAACGCCGCCTCTCGGCGACTAGCGGCGAACGCCCGGATGTTCCAACTGCGGTCAGAAATGCATGGAGAACGTGAGAAAATCGTTGTTTCTTCAGTGTTGTGGGAATGTACGGAATCCCAATGATTTTTGACATAATAATTGAACATTTTAGAATAATTTGCGCTAAGTTTTGTGCCCCGCAAGGACCTGACTTATTTTAAAAATTTGCCTGAGCGGCATCATGCCGCAGACGACACGGCGACGTCACATCATTCACGTGACCCGCTCCGGCCAACCCAAAAAGCCCATCTCCGCTGCGAGCAAAAATCGTCTGCTTCAAACGCCATTGCCTTGGAAATTGCCTTCTCAAAATTTGCACACGCATCCGATATTGTTAAAACTTTGATAAAGTGTTTAGTGCTTTACTAACTTCACGACAGACTAGTTTTGAAAAGTGTAAACTCGCCGTTCATTTTTTAATCAGCCGTGTTGTGTCCCTGCTGCTATAAGAGACTTTTTGAAACTTCCCCTTTGTGTGCGCAGCCCCCTGCCGTCAAACGGGGCAGAGTCGCGAGAGCTGGCCAGGATGTATGGGATGCAGCTGGCATCCTCGTCATAATGCCTTACTTGTTTCCCACCTTCTTTTCTTTCCTTTGCATGTACTTTCTGTATTGTGTATATTCTGTACATATATATGTCTGTTATGTTTTTTCACATGTGGTGGCGGGCTGGCAGGCGCTCTGCGTAAGGGTTTTTCACCTATCTGCCTAGCCCCGCACACCACCACATGTGCCCATTCTAGTATGTGCAAATAAAATTATTATTATTATTATTATCTCCATGTATTCTCCCATAGGGCGGGCCGCCTCCTGGAACCCTGAGTACCACGTGACTCGCGCCAAGCCGCTCTGTCAGCCATGTTGTCGGAAAAACACGGGGTTCAAAGGATTGCGTTACTCTGCTCCGTAGGAGCTATATAGTGCTCTAGTACCAACTACGATGGAATCTAGTGGCATGCTGATGTGCCGCAGTAAAATAAAATCATAGCTTCGACATTTTTTTGACACATTACAGTTGCTTCAGCATGCACCAGATGGCACTCATTTGTGGTTCGCAGAACATTCCCTAGGTGGCCATAGTATCTAACTCGCCAGGCAACGTTCTCTCGGTTTGTGTATTTATGTTCGCGGGTTGTCTCGGGTGATAAATTTGCTACTATCGTAGACAGCTGTGTGAAAGCTTTTGTTTTGGAGAACTTTAAAGCAGCGTACGTGTTGAACGTGTAGTTCATGAAACGTTCTTGAATGTACCTTGTTGTAAGTACGCTATCCGTCACTTCCCCCCCAATAAATATTTTTTGGGGGCTGTTTCCATTCTTTTTCTCCGCGCTTATTTTATTGCCAGGGTCACAGTGCCTCTTGTTTTCACAGGCACACGAGTCGGTTCTTCCTACGTTCCATTCTGAGGCGGTCTCGGTGCTTTGAAAGTGCGTCGATGTCGACTAGCTTGGTCGGCCGAACTCGGCAACGTCCGGAAGCCATGACGTCACGCCCGGCAAAGTTCCCGAGCGATCCCGTCGTGCCTCGCGCCCCGTATGTCCGCCATACTGTGTCAGTGGCTGTGTGACGGTCACGGAGTTGGCCTGCTGGGGTCGTGGCGGAGTTTTGTTTTACGGCCTGATGCAGTGCTCGCCCTACGAAATTAAGGATAAGTTATTGAAAGCATTAGACGAGGACAACAATGTAAGCCTCACACGTTTCATTGCCTCCCTTGAAAGCCGCAGTGTGTTCAGTGCCGCTGGCAGTCCGCGAAAAGTCGCTGGTGTCTGGGGCCGAAACGCAGACGTTCCTTGTAACCAGCGGCCGGGACAACACGGTAGTTGGGAACGAGCGTTAGGCCTAGCCCCGTTTCCACGCTGCGAGCGCACCGGCGGGGGCCTCTTCTCGAGTACGGGCGAGCGTGTCGTGCCGCGGGCCCGGCCTGGACGAGGCGGCGAATCGGTCGGCGACGGCCTCCGAGTGCACGCTCGCCGAGCCGCCGCCGCCGGGGCATCGGCTTGTGCCGTCCGTCTTCGCCGGAGCTCGCTGAGACGTCACGACCCATGCGCTCTCTCTACCGCGGTCGCCGGTGGCGGGTTTTACAACTAGCGCTCCTCCCCGGCAGCTCCGCACGGGAAGCTAAGCCTAACGCCGTTCAATGCGATTCCGGCCCGCCGACTGACGGGTCCCTACTCGCCGGCACGACGCGCTCGGCCCGCGCGCTCGATCTCGCCCTATTCGCGCCGCTGCCGTCGTCGGGTCCGGCGTGCGCTCGCTCGCGCGGGGCTCGGCGCCGTGGTGGACGACGTGTGACCTTGTTTTCTTCGTCGTCTCGATATGTGGCTAATAACGTCGTGCACGGTGTCTGGGACAGTCGCGTACGTCGGGCCGTTCGGGCCAGCGCCGCGCTGCCGACACGCGAACGGCTTTGCTGCTGGTCACACCGCCAGCACGCTGCCCTTTGCAATCTACGTCTCAGTTTCGGCCCTGCGTCGCGATGCAGTTCTGCCGACTGTGTGTTCGGACGCGCGGCGTTCTGGCCCACTACCTGCCGCCGCGACTGCGGTGACGGGAGTCCCCGTGTCGGGTGACCCTGACATACTTGTCGCCGACCCGACGGCAATTAATATTCCTCGTGGTCGAAACGATCGAACCGAAGTCTTCGTAAACATGTTGCCGTCTGCGACAGATGTCGGGTGCCTAGGGTACTGTCCGAGTTCGATGACGTGTTGTCGGTTCGCCGAGCTACCCGAATCCACTACGTGGTGGAATTTGCCGCAAACCTAGTCGTTTCCTACCCGTTATGCAGATCCCGTGCGGTTTTGTCGAAGGCGAACGGTAGCCCTTTCCGATGTCGCGACCGTGTGTGCGACTTGCTCCAACACTGTTTGTTTGTGGACGCGGCGAATACACGTTTGTTGGTTACTTTTCGTGCACCTAGTCGTCACAAACCGGCGACAAACGAACTTGTTTGTGATCGAGGGGTGCAGCTAAAGGTTGTTAAGCTTGCGACAACGCTGCGTATGTTGTGTGAACGAGCAGGGTCGATGTTTTGTTTGTCTATATGAGCTCGTCCATTACTGCACGATGGCTTTCGCTGAATAGCCATATTTGCAGGCGGTCGAATGCTTGCCTTTGACGTGCTGTTGCTTAATTAACCGCGACCGTTAAATTGACCTTTTCCTGAGCCATAAAAGTTTGGTGACGTGATTCAAGTGATAATCGATGCGTACTGTGTGTTCTCAGAATTTTTTTTTTTTTTTAACGCTATGTGCTACAGATATTCGTGCATTCAATGACCTGTCCATCATCTTTCGTTTCCTGACGGTTTCGTGCTTGTATTATATCTGTACTGGGCTCAGAATAGTCTTTACCCTGTAGAGACTAGACTCCACTTTGCATGTTGTGTCAGGAGTACGGAATTTTCAAACTGGTGGGCAGCTTCGATCTTGTGCCACGATGAGTTCATTGTGAGGTTGTGTGTGCAAAGCATTTTTCTTCTTTTTTTTTTTTTTTTTTGTGATGGCAGGACGAGATACTTTGATTCGTTTGATCCCAAGCAGCATCATGACCTCGTGAACGCAACCAATATTGATCGGACCCTATATTTTGTTTCATCGTAAGTGCAATTGAACAAGCTACAAAGGTGTGTACGAGACTTTAAAAGCGCCTGATATGTACATGGGCTCGTAAAGTTAAAGCATTGGTTGAGACAATTTTCATGTGGCAGCTTTGCTCCCTCTTATGGTAAAACAGTATCGACGAATAAGTTGCACCCTTCCGAGAGACTCCGACAGTGGATCTACACTTTGAAAATGTGAGAATTTTAAGTTGGCGAACTACGAGCGGAACCTATTCCAGTGTGCTGATCGCCATTTTTCAACAGCTTGCATTCTTCACAGATTGCCCTGTGAAGATGTAAGACATGTGAAGTTGCTTACGAAATACAAAACAATCTTCAGCCTTTCATTTGTCGAAATGAGACGCTCCTGCCAACGGGCGATGATCTTGGTGGATTATGACTCTCATAGACGTTGAGGCTCAATGGCTTGCAGTTTGCAGTTCTGTCTGTTGTCTTGCCTTCACCCTCTGGGGTAGCTCCAAGGCTGGCAGTGACTTAGCAATATTTGTCGGTTAGTTGCTTCCATCCTTCCAAAAGCCACAAGATAGCTGTGATGGAAAGAAGCTTCCTTTCCATGCAGAGTGACCAAACATATGAGGGTGAGTCAAATGACAACATAAAACGCTTTTCTGCTCTAAATTTATCAAACAAAAGCGGTACAGATGTGTATTATTTTTCAACGTAGTCCCTATTCTGCTCAATGTAGGTCTTCTAGCTCTTAGCAAATGCAAAAATTCTTGTACAAAAAGAAAAAAAAAATTTGTTGCATGCAAAGTTACTCATGCATCGCCTGTTGTACTTCTTCATCAAACTGCAAATAGTTTCCCATTTCTTTCTTGATTGCTCCAAAAATCTGTCAGTCGATTACGGTGGGACCCATGAGTGCACGACAATGCAGCCGTTTCGTCCATCATCATTCTACCATTTTTCATTATGATGTCTTCAACTGCTGCAATAGGCTCTGCTGTCACCACTTGATATGCCCGAACCAGTCGAGGAGAGTCTCTCGCAGACTTCTTGCCATTTTGAAACCTTCTAGTCCGCTCAAAAACACTTGTTGGAGTGACAGGCAGGCATCACCGTAGGGCAACTTCATTCAGTAATGAATATGAATAGTTTTCGCTACTTAAGAAACAGGTGACAAAGCGCTGGTCTTTGGTGCTGGACTCAAATGGGGTGGCCACTTTTTCACTGCGTCATGCTGGTTGTCTGTGCTATGCTACAACTTGTTGAACACTTTAAAGTATCGGTAAGAGGGCTGCCAACTTACAGGACATTGGCACCATATTTCGAGATGTTATTGCAATTTTTAAGGTCATCCAACTCGCCATCGTGCATATATTTCCGCCCCTTAATGTGCACTTCACTCTTGCCTTTATTTTGTTCAGAATGATTCGGTAACTGGCCGTAGACCTTGCATGGCATTTGAGTTTCTTTGGCCTCATGGACAGCTAAATGGTATGATCCTGTGATCACCTTCACACAAGTTGGAAACGAAGCGTCTCCTTGACTTTCGGGTGACAGACACAGATGCCGTGCCCAACAAAATCGTTTCTGGTTTGTTAACATCTGCTTACTACTCGTAGTAGAATGTGCATGGAAGCTACTTTTACCTTTATTGGAACTCAGCATGTTCCGAATATGGTGCGTGTTACGTTTACTGAGCGTGGAAAGAGAGGAAGGTACAGCGGCCAGTCTTTTAAAAGTATATACTCGTCTTCATACGCCGTAATATGCGCATCGAACAAACTTGGGATAGCGGAGGCACGGTTTTAGCATTTGAGAAGTGTGCTGACAAAATAGCAAGCTACAGTGACCAGTTTCAGTCAACACAAGAAGCTCGTAGTCTCATATTAGTAGTACCATTTTTAAACAAGTTCAGTCATTCAATGGAGTTTTCGAGGGAGTCCTAGAACAAGACAAAAAAAAGCTTACAAGAGTTCCTCTCTGTTCTTATCTTGTCATGTACTGTGACATTTGTCTGTACCTTGGAATGTCATGCACTGGCTACGAATGCATTTTTGGGAGCCATTTTCCACACTCATCGGGACACACCTTGCAGACGCTGAAGAAGCACATAACCCTTTCGATCCTCATGACCCAAAACGCCAGGCCCAAATGCAACTCAACATGCTTGATAGTGGTCTCAACTATAATGTTTTCCGTCTTAAGAGGGTCGATTGGACCAAGTTGTTGTAGTTCTACATCACTGTTTTTTTGCATTAAAAAAAGAAAGAAAAGGTACCAAAGGAATGGTTTATATCTGCCTCCCTCTTGTCCTTGCTTTTAGGTGTAGAACCGTAGCAGTCATTGCCTTTGACACAATCTCTCTTACAACAGAGGGTGACCAAAGTGTTGGCCGGCCCCATTAGTTTCTGGGCAAAGTTACGAAAGCAACGCTTTTTGCTCCTTCGTCGTTTCAGAGGTTCCTTGTGCCGGTTTAGTGGCATTCTTTAATTTTTGCAGGAATGCAGCTTCGATCGACTGGGGATCAAATTCACGTTGAATGCACGAAAAATCCACCTCCAGCATACTGAATGGGTAATATCGCCCCGGAGTTGCAGGAGGTAGTTGTCTATTGCAGAACACCTGTGGTCGATGGTCATGGATTGAACGAACAGAGGGGGAACTGTGGCAGCCGGTTGAATGCAGAAAGTTTTCGCGCGACGAGGCATTTTGTTCGGGTTACGCGAGGTTCTTACCTCCTTTGAGTCGCACCTGCAAACGTCGAATAACGTCTCCCATTGGAGTCTCGCCTCTTGCATTTGGAGGTGGTCGTAAAGGTTTTGATGAGCATCAATGCTTGGCTCTGGGAACGCTCCGGTGTGTGCTGCACCGCTTGAGTTTGTTTGCGGTCTCTATCGTCCTTCTCGAGTTTGAATGAATCCTTTTGAAAAGTTCATGGAGCAGCGTTGGTGGCCGCCATTGCCCTGGTGCGGAGCGTGCGATTAAATGCAAGTCCTAGTCGAACGCTGACTCAGCACTCATTCTCTGTACAAGCCGAACGCCAACACTGCCCTCGTGTCCAACACACAGGCTCGAAGTGTGTGTCCAACCAATTTCGTCTTCGGATAATGCACCT